ATTGACTAAAGGACTGACAGCAACAAAGTTCAGAGACCTACWTGGCAAGCTAAACATGATTGATATCCATGCTTAGCTTGAGGGGGAGTGTTAGAATGTTAGAATGAAGTCTCTTTGTATGAGTTTTCGGTTGATAAGAGTTTTATTAGCTCATACTTAAGTTAAATTATCCTGTAACTGGGCCTGGGTTAATGGGCCTAAGCCTGTTTAATGTTTTTAAGTTAACTGGGTGTCCCATCACTAATCAGGGGCATTCCAGTAAATTCTTGTACCATTGTACTTCATTCAAATATAAATCATTGCTGGTCAACTGAGCAGTACAATTCGACATTTTCCAGCATACCAGTGGTTTTCTTCTTCACTTCTCTACTTTSAATACAGCATTCAGCACACAGTCCCCAAACATTAATGTGCACAATTTCGAAAGGAGCAATGCTTCTTTTATTACTCAAAATATAGATTGATCTACAATGTTTTACCAACTCACAACTTTCACACTTTAAGTTGGACACTTGGACTGATTCAAACAAAGTAGGAAAAAGACTCCTTAAAGACCCAAAAGACAAATGACCTAATCGATTATGCTAGAGCATAATCTAACTCAAAGTTTGAAACAAAAGACTTTCCAACTCCTTTATTTCTTCCAGGTGGATGCTCAAGCAAGTAGATCCCATTCACCTCATGGCCAGTCCTAATCACCTACTCTGTCACCAGATCCTAGAAAACACAATGATCAGGAAAAAAGGTCACTGAACAATTCTGATTTTCAGTAATGCTACTAACAAAAAGTGGGTTAGTACTAAGTTTGGTCACATGCAAAGCTGATAATAAGGAAAGTGCAGCAGATACTCTAATGTCACCCTTTCCAAAAATGGAAGCAAGAGAGCCATCAACAATAGAGACCTTATCTATACTAGAGGACAAATGACAAGAAGAAAACGGTGAGGCTAAACTGGTCATATGGTCAGAGGCACCCGAATCTACTATCCAAATAAGATCAATGTTACTTGGACTTAAGGCATGATAAGCAGTAGCTCTTGTACCTGAGTGAACAAAAGTTGAAGTAGAGGTAGAAGGGCTCGAGGTAGACTGGGATGATCTAGTAATGCCAACTTCATTCTCCAACTATGTCAAGACTGACCTGAAAGCAGCCAAGGCATCCAAGGAGGTAGATCTTAAACCAGTAAAGGGTGAAACATCTGTAGCAGTGGAAACATTTGCATTTCCCTTCTTATTCTTAATTCTTGAAGGTGCCAACTGAGGATGAAGTTTCCAACAGGTCTCTTTAGTGTGTCTAGGCTTCTTGCAATAGTCACAAATGATCTCCCTTTTTTCTTCTTTCCTTACCTCTCTCTCTCCTTGTCACAATAATGCTTCAAATTCATTGCTGCTAAAGATGTTTCGATTTGGGAGTTGTTGTCTCACTATATCATATTCAGAATTCAGCCCTAAAAGAAATCCAAAAATCCTATTTTTTCCCACTAATTTGTTATATGTTTCTGCATCCTTCTAACTTTCCCATTCAATTGTCTCCAAGTGATCAATTTCATGCCATAGAAACTTCAAGGTTGAGAAGTAAATCGAAACAAGTTTCTCTCCTTGTTTCAGATTTGTCGCTTCAACTGTGAAAATAGATAAGTCGAACCAATTTCAGAGATAGAGAAAAGAGAAAGAAGAAGAGAGGAGAAAGAAGTGTCGAACTGAGGTGTCTCAAAGACTCTCCTAGCCAACTATATATATATATATATAACAAGGTACAAAAACAAATATGCCCCTACTTAAGTATGGGACATGTAACTAACATAATACTTAAGCAGATGATGAAAACACTGAAATACCCTTCCTAGTCAACTCTAACACTCCCCCTTAAGCTGGAGAATGTATATCATATAGTCCCAGCTTATTACATATATAGCTCACTCTTCCCGAACTCAACCCTTTTGTGAACAGGTCTACCCACTGATTACCTGTTCTCACATGCTCTGTACTTATGACACCATTAATGACTTTTTCCCTTACAAAATGGCAATCTTCCTCTATGTGCTGCTTAGTCCTCTTTGAAAAACTGGATTGGATGAGATGTGAACTGCAGCTTGGTCGTCACAGTATAGCTTCATGGGTTTGCTTATTGAGAACCTGACTTCCTGCAAAAGATCTTTCAACCACACTAGTTCACATGTAGTGTGTGCCATGGCCTTGCATTCTACTTCTGCACTACTCATTGCTACAACAGTTTGCTTGCTCTTCCATGTCACTAGATTTCCTCCAAGAAAGGTGCAATAGCATGTAGTGGATCTCCTATCAGATACTGAGCCTGCCCAATCTGCATCTGTATGGCGAATTATTTCGAGACTACCTCCTGGATTGTATAGTAACCCACGACCTGGAGCCCACTTCAAATACCGCACAATTCTAAGAACTACATCCCAGTGAAGAACTAGAGGGTTTTGCATAAATTGGCTTACCACACTGATAGCAAATGAGATATTTGGTCTAGTAAAAATTAAGTAATTCAGTTTTCCCATAGCCTTCTATACCTTCCAGGATCATCAAATAATTCACCTATATCACTACCCAACTTCACATTTGGTTCCATGGGAGTTTCAGCTGGCTTAGCACCTAATAGTCATATTTCTTCCAATAGGTCAAGAACATATTTCCTCTGACATAGGTTTATGCCTTGCTTCAATCTAGCGACTTTTATACCCAAGAAATACTTAACTTCCCAAAATCTTTTGTCTGAAAGTGATCTTGTAGAACTTTGAGTCTACCAATCCCAAGTCTATCACTGCCAATGATGACTTCGTCCACGTAAACTACTAGAAAGATCTTCCCGGCTTCCAAATCATAGCTAAACACTAAATGTCAACTTGACATTGTCTCATCCCGAAATACTTAACTTCGTCCTAGCGACTTCTATACCCAAGAAATACTTAACTTCTCAAGATCTTTTGTCTGAAAGTGATCTTGTAGAACCTTCAATGATGACTTTGTCCACTTTAACCACTAGCAAGATCTTCCTAGTTTCAAAGTCATAGCTAAACATTGAATGTCAACTTGACATTGTCTTATCCCGAACTCTTTCACTACTTCACTAAATTTGCCAAACCAAGCACGGGGAGATTGTTTGAGCCCATAGGTTTCCTTCTTGAGTTTACACACCTTACCATCCTCCCCCTGAGCAACAAACCCTGGTGGTTGCTCCTTGTATACTTCCTCTAGAAGATCACCACGGAGGAAGGAATTTTTAATATCGAGCTGAAACAAAGGCCAATCATTCATGATTGCTAAGGAAATCAACACGCATACTAAGCCAATCTTAGCAATAGGGGAAAAGGTTTCCACATAATCTATACCATAAATTTGAGGATATCCTTTGGCAACTAAATGGGCTTTCAGTTGTTTCACTCTCCCATTTGGTAGATATTTAGCAGTATACACCCATTTACAACCAACAACATGTTTACCTAGGGGAAGATTGGTGAGTTCCCACATATGATTGTGATTAAGGGCAAAGAGTTCCTCTTCCATAGCTTTACGCCACCTTGGTGAGGTAAGAGCCTCCTAGACATCCTTAGGTGTAGAAAAAGAAGATTGGCGATGGGAAACAGAAAGGTGAGGAATAGAAACATAATTGGATATGGGGTGCAGAGTGGAAGTATACATGGAGGTGGAGACTTGGGTGTGGAAGAAACTAGATCTGTAGACAGAGTAGAAGCTGGAGGAGGTGTTGGTCTTTGTTGGTGAGTATACACTTAACTGATTGGTGGCCTTTCAATATGATCCTTCATTGGAGTAGGTGGAGACTCAAATCACAATGGGAACAACAGGAATAGGATTATCAACTGGAAGAGGAAGAGGAACCTCTTTGGGAGAAAGAAATATCAGGACCTGAGAAGTACGACATAGTCTCAAAGAATGTAACATCAGGACAGACAAATGACTTCCGAGTAATGGGATTGTAGCATTTATACCCTTTCTAAGTCCTAGAGTAGCCAAGAAAGATACATTTAATGGAGCGTGCATACAACTTGTGTAGACCAAGACCAAGATTTTGAACAAAGCATACACACCCGAAGATCCTGGGAGTCAAGGGATATGGAGACAAAGTTGGAAAAACCAAGCCCGAGCCCAACCTATGAACAAGTCTACTTCTAATATCATGTCTTCCTAGCATCATAGATTTTCCTATACTTAATATATATACATAAGTTTATAATCAAGTAATGGGAGATATTAAATATAATTGAGTTACTAATAAATTTCTTTCATATTTTATTATCAAAAAAAAGAAAAACTTCAAGCTTCTGGGATTGGACGAGTGATAAGAAATCTTGAATGTATTGTTCTGCATATTTCATTGGACCTGCCACAGATAACATCTCTCTAAAACCTCTTGTAAGGAATGGGGTTCCAAAGGAATCTTTAGTTTGGGGTGTTCTTGGTGTAAGGAAACCCCTGTAGTACTTTTGCCCTGTTTTATTTTCCAGTTGGCTGTGGTCAGGTTTCTGCTGTAGATCACCACCTCTTTCAGTTCCTGTGTATATATTTCCTTATGTTTTCTTTCTACTTCAATTGAACCCTATTTTCTATTGCTTAAAGAAAAAAATGTAAGTAGTTCTGCAGTTCACCTCAATTTCTCAGAGAAGCAGTTCTTTTTATAGCATAAAGCATTTGCAGAATAGATCTATCATCTAAAACATTGAATACAGTTAAATATCTGCATGGAATTATTTATTGTCTTTTTAATGCTGATTTACTTCCCATTTTTTAATAATCAAAACAGAACACAAGTAAAATCTCATTACACATTTTTTCTGCCCTATGATCTTTATGTCTATAGAAATGGTTTTTGTAATGTTGTATGCATTATGTCATTTTTATTCTTCTCTCTTGTTGGAAAACCTGTAAAAGAATTTAAATTGAGTAAATATCTCCATGCAGTACCTTGAATACTTTTATTTGGCCACCTAATATGCATAAACATTTCTTTTCTTCAGGAAGCGCTCAAGGAAAGTAATAAGTGGTTACCTCCTCCATGGGCAATTGTTGCACTACTGATTCTTGGTTTTAATGAATTCATAATGATTTTGAAGTAATTACCATAACCAAATAGTCGTCTTTTATTTTCAATCTAACACAAGACAATTCTATTTTTTAACTTTCTTTGATGATTCGCTCTTCTGCTGATTAAACAGGAATCCTTTTTATCTCATGGCATTCTTTGTCATTGGCTTACTGGCCAAGGCTCTCTGGGTACAACTTGACATTGCAGGGGAATTCCGCAATGGTGCTGTAAGTATAGAAATAGCATTTTTATTTTAATTTATACTAATTTCAACATGGAAACTCTTGCTTTGTTGGACCAATCACTTGGACTCTCTTTGACAATCACATACTGCATGCTGATGCTTAATAATGCTTTTAGCTGTTCCACGAAGAACCAGTGTAAATTTGAATTTATTAGCTCTGTCCCACAATAACCATTCTCTTTGTTGTTTTTCCGAGTCTCATAATGTTTATGGGGCTACAAATGTATAGGATCAAATTGTATATAGGTAGATCCAAATTTGATTCGTACAAATTGAATTTTATCCATTGGATTGTATCTTATTTGTAACAAATTCAGATAACAATCAAATATTGAATAGCATTAATAAATTAAACTCAAAAACTAAAAATAACCTAGAAATTGTATAACATGAACAAAATGAATTGAAAATAACTTATTTGAAACTTGAACCTATAACCATTTAGTGAACCAAACCAATTTAACTAATAAATACAATATAAATTTTAAGTATATAAAAGCATATATATTTAAATCAAATTGAATTGATTTATGCAATAAACTGATAAACAATTATGGGATGGAGGAGATGTTCTATTTTCTGGCATCAATTAGAAGGCAACATTGGAAATACATGTAAAGCAAAGTGAAGGAAAAGATTTAATACCTATTTCACTACAAATGTTTTTTTTTTTTCATATTAGTTAGTCATTGTGGCACTGGAGTATTTTTTTAGAGTAAACCTTCTTTTTTCCATTGAAACCGCAAGATTGTTGTGTTCTTGAAGTTAAAACTTATTATCCTTTTTGCCGTTTTTTCCCACAAGCAGACAGATTGGGTTCTCAACACCATTTTGTTGTACTTGCAGCTACCAGGTCTACTTTCTATTTCATCAAGGTTCTTCCCTACTGTTATGAACCTTCTGAGAGCACTAGCTGAAGCAGGCCAAGGGGGTCCAACCCCTGAACCACCCAGACAATACCCAGCTCCGGTTTCTCAGAGTTTCCGGAATCAAACACAGACTCAAACTCTTTTGACAGAAACAGTACCTGACTCATCTGTATCATCTAATGTCTCATCAACTGAGAGTGGTTTTGAATACTCAAGTTCACAAGTGACACATAGGCGAGTTGGTAACACTGAAGAAACAACAAATTCATGATCAGTGCTATGAAAAAGCTAGATCTGCAGACTGCAGCCAAGGGAGGGAGATGGTAAACGCTCCATTTTAGGAGTCCGTGGGATAGGATCGGAATGTAAACCTTTAATGTGAAATCTGAAAGGGGTTCTTTTTTGGGAGACTGCATGCCTTTGCATGTATGTCTTAGGTGATATATCTTTCCTTACGAATTTGCATACAGTTATGTTAATTATATAAGAAAAGAGGCTTTGTTTTAATGTTAGTTTACCTCTTAGGCTCTTAACAAGAGTGCTGAGACATTGCATCATTCATGGGCTTGTATGCTCGAGAACATGCACTCCAGAAAACAACAGTTTATATCATGACTCATGAGCATACTAACTTCACCAGAATAACGTGTGGTTCAACTAGGGATTGCCAAGAAGTTGGATCCAACTTCCAAGAGTACAAATATGTGAGTCCGGATCACTTGCTCACACAAACTCTGTCCACGTCTACCCACATAACATCGCAGATGGAGAACATTTCATCTTCCTACATGGTATTATATAGGGGGAGATGTTCCCAATTCACGGGGATAACATGTGAGTAGACGTTTCCAATTCACGGGGATAAAATCTTCGTGGGCAGGTAATCCGGAAAATTTAAGTCATTAAATAAATCACATTCTCTCTCATTGAATCCAATATTTATGTTTTTGTTTATCATCATTAAATTTTACTAATAAATCCATATACAATAAGTATTAATAGAATAAAATTTTATATTTTTAAAATAAACAGAAATAAAATCACATTTTTCATGTAGGTGGTGGGTAAGTAGTTCAACCATTTGAGTCAAATGGATAATTTCATGATATTATAAATAAACAATACAAATTTAAAAATATAAAAAATAGTTTTGTTTATCATGATTAAATTCCACTAATAAATCCATAAACAATAATTATTAATAGAATAAAATTTTATATTTTTAAAATAAAGCTAGAAAAGAAATCATATTTTCCATCTAGTTGGTAGATAAGTACTTCAACCATTTGGGTCAAATGGATAATTTCATGATGTCATAAATAAATAATACAAATTTATAAATTCAAAAAAGACAAAATATATATAAAAATTTGAAAAAAAAAATGGAAACGCTTCTACTATTATATATTTGTCATATTAAAAAATAAGTATGATACAATATACATAACTTTATTAATAGACATATTAAAAATTTTTATTAATAAACTGATAAACAAGACTTTCCAATTCCTTTATTTCTTCTAGGTGGATGCTCAAGCAAGTAGATTCCATTCACCTCATGGCCAGTCCCAATAACCTGCTTTGTCATCAGATCCTATAAAATACAATGATCAAAGAAAATGGTCATTGAACAATTCTGATTTTCAATAATGCTACTAACAGAAAATGGGTTAGTACTAAGTTTGGTCACACGTAAAGCAGATAATAAGTGCAGCAGATACTTTAGTGTCACCCTTTCCAAAAATGGGAACAAGAGAGCCATCAACAATAGAGACCTTATCTCTACTAGAGGACAAATGATAAAAAGAAAATGGTGAGGCTAAACTGGTCATATGGTCAGAGGCACCCAAATCTACTATCCAAACAAGATCAGTATTACTTGGACTTGAGGCATGATAAGCAGTAGCTCTTGTACCTGAGTGAGCAAAAGTTGAAGTAGAGGTAGAAGGGCCCAAGGTAGACTGGGATGATCTAGTAATGCCAACTTCATTCTCCAACTATGTCAAGACTAACCTGATAGTAGCCAAGGCATCCAAGGAGGTAGATATTGCTCCAATAGAGGGTGAAACATCTATAGCAGTGGAAACATTTGCATTTCCCTTCTTATTCTTAATTCTTGAAGGTGTCAACTGAGGATGAAATTTCCAACAGGCCTCTTTAGTGTGTCTAGGCTTCTTGCAATAGTCACAAATGATCTCCCTTTTTTCTTCTTTCCTTACCTCTCTCTCTCCTTGTCACCATAATGATTTGATTTCATAGCTGCTAAAGATGTTTCAATTTGGGAGTTTTGCAACATAACTTTCCTTCTTTCCACACTATGCACTAAAGAATATGCTTGAGACAAGGAAATACTCTCCCTAGTAAGAAGTTGTTGTCTCACTATACCATATTCAGAATTCAGCCCTAAAAGAAATCCAAAAACCCGATTTTTTTGACCAATTTGTTATATGTTTCTGCATCCATCTGACTTTTCCATTCAATTGTCTCCAAGTGATCAGTTTCATGCCATAGAAACTTCAAGGTTGAGAAGTAAATTGACACAAGTTTCTCTCCTTGTTTCAGATTTGTCACTTCAATTGTGAAAACAGATCAGTCGAACCAATTTCAGCGATAGAGAAGAGAGAAAGAAAGAATGAGAAAAGATGAAGAGAGGAGAAAGAAGTGTCAAACTGAGAAGTCTCAAAGACTCTCCTAGCCAACTATATATATAGTCATGAAACGAGTCATTGTGATTTAAGTTCTTCATTTTCCTTCATGCAAGGTACTCTACATTCTCAGGGTAGAATTATCGCTTGATCTCTCGCTTGAAATCGGCCTAGGTGTTGAGGGTACGTGTGTTGCATTTCATGTCCTAACAACACCTGCGCTACCATAGCATTGCAATATCATTTAATTACATTGTTGTCGTACGTACCTGAATTTCATTATCATGGATGCCAGTAGTGGAGAAATATTGTTCAAGTTGCCACAATAAGTTGTTAAGTTCCTAAGCATCATGGGCCCCCGAGTAGGAGTCATAGTAGATGAGGCAGTGGAGTTGGCCATTGCCCTTTTTACGAGTGTTAGCTTGTCCCTCATTTCATCCAGTTGCACTTGGAATCGGTCCATCATGCCCTAAATGATGCATTAGGAAGGCCTCGCATCCGAGCATTGTAAGGTGGAATGGATCTCTTTGAAGGCGCCATTGAATCGTCCTTATAGCTCCACCACTGCAATCTCAACGGTCTCCATGTTGAGGTGGAGTTCCTCGACCTAGCCTTAGGTCTCACCTACTATCACCTCATAATATAGGATACACATGTCCATGCTTGCTAGTTGGCCAAGTGATTTGTCACGCTTTCTAGTTTTAGTTTTGTGGCCCTTTGGGGCTTGTGTTTTGGAGGGTTCATCAATTGGTGCCCCATTGGTGTTGTGGGCTTGGGACAACCCATGTGAGATCTCGTCGGTGATGTCATGGTGGCTCTTCATTGTGTGCAATAAGGGTTGGTTGACAAGGTCCAGTATGTATAGGAGCTCTTGGATCTAATACCAAATGTGCGTTAAGTAAGCCTATGAGACAAGCAACAATACAAGAAAAGGCAACAAGATGGCATACAAATTAGTCAAGAGGCACTTTATTTTGTATTAAATGATGGCAAGCGCAAGCACACTAGTTTGTATTGAGGGGACCTCGTGCTTAAGCTTTACATGGTATTGGCAACACTCAACTACCTACCTCCCCTCAAAGAGTAAGTTTAGCTTTTGGGGGAGTGACAGAAGGATACATCAAAGTATTGAACATTCGTACTAGTAATTATAATTACGCCATTGGCATTCCCCCCATACAAAATACATGTATAGCCCCACCCAAGACACTGTACACTTGTTAGCACTCAAAAGGCATGTCGTGGAAATAGTGATGGCACTTGATAGCTGGTGTGCCCAAGATGCGTCATCAAACACCTAGGACACCAGTTTAATAATTTATATTTTTCCAATCCTCAAAACTAAATAAAGAACGTAGCTTAGTGGTGAGAAAGGGGTCGAATCCTCAAGGAAGCAAGGTTAAAAATTATTATTTTGTTACGGACAAATAAGAAAAAGAAAACAGAATTAGGATTTGTAGAAAATAAGAAAATAAAATTTATTAAAGCTGAAATTAAATACTCAGAATTGAAAAAGACAAGAAATAAAATTCAAAAATTAAATAAAATTGAAATTAATAAGAAAATAAATAAAAATATGTTGAAATTCGGATCCAGTGGCGGTAGCTTTACTAGAAGACAAACTGCAAGCCGTTCCTCCTCCGTTCAACCCTCGAACCCCTTGAGACACCATAGCCTTGAATTGGGTGAATTCAGATCTACAAAAGACAAAGAAAAATAGAAATTAAATCAAACCAAAATCGAAAATTGCAAAAATTAAATTACTAGAAAAACTGAATAACAAAAAGAAAGAAAATAAAACAAAATAAAAATAGTGGATCAGCTCTAGTGGCGACAATTGCAGGTTGGACGAACTGCTTGCAGGAGCCCCTCTTGACAAGAACTGGGTGTCCTTCTTCTTGTAACCCTTGAACCCCTTAAGAAGCCTTGGCCTTGTGAGCAGGGCTAACCAACCCCTTCTCCAGGGCCCTTGGGGTCCTTTTTATAGAGAAGGGTGAACAAAACTAGGATTAGAGAGAAAGAGAGGGGCGACTAGTGGATTTATGCAGAAAATGGGCGCCCCTAGGGTTTAGGAATGGAGGGTTAGGATTAAACTAGAGCGATCCTATGGCTCGAGTGAAAAGGAGAGGATGCCTATAAGTATGGAGGGCTGGGAATTAAGCTCCTAGGATTGAATGGTGGAGATTTGGGCGCCTAGGGCTGAAAGGTGGAGATTAAAAGGAGTGGGTGGCACCCTAGTGTTAGAATGCTAAAGAGATGGCACCCTAGAATGGAGGGTGGAGATTGCAAGGTGAAGATCTAAGGGTATGAGAGGTTGCTAAGACTTCGATGGTTGAGATTAGATGTTAGGGAGGAGTGGAAGGTGAAGATTTAGTAGTTAGGAGCGGCTAGGGTTTGTTAGTGGTGAAAAAAATGAGTGGGGAGGCGCCCTATGGTTTGTTAAGGAAAGGGGAGTATGCTAATATAGTAGGAGGGGTGCCTTTCTGGGTTTAGCAGATAAGAGGCGCCCTCCTGTGCTCAATTTTTCATAGAAACATCCCTTCTCTCAGTTAGAATTCTCACAAGCTTCCCAAAATCTGCAGAAATCTCTATAAACTTCTCAATTTTTACCCAGAATTTACATAAGGACCCTCAGAGGTCACAACATTGAATTTAATTGGAAAGTGGTACAAATTAGTCAATCTAAGGTCTAAAAGACCCCTAAAATGATGCCCTTAAGGCATCAAAATACAAAGTCATCACACCCCCCAATTTAACCATTACTAGTCCCTTAGCAATGCAGCCTTAAAATTACACTGACTAAAGAGACCATTCCCATTGCAAGATCATCCCTGACAAAACTAGCCAAGTATCATGATTCCAAAATT